CCTTTTGGAGGTGGGGGGCTTTGTCTGTAGGGCATGGATGGACTTCGCTTCCCAGAATCCCCAACCGGTCAGTTGGGGGTTGAAGTCGGCTGTGCGAAGCCCCCCCCTCCCCTCAGCTGCTTTCCTCCCCCCCCCCCCCCCGGCCTGCCCCCCCCCCCCGGGGCCGCCCCCGGCGGCCCCCCCCCCCCCCCCCGCGGCCTTTGCTCTCCCGCCTGGGAACGCCCAGGGCACGACCCCCTCCCCTTTATGGGGGGGTTACCCTGGGTCTTCAACCGTAAGGTTTGCAGAGCATTGCTGGGGAATTCTGGGAGTTGAAGTCCGCAAGTCTTAAAGTTGCCAAGTTTGGAAAAAGATAAAGAAGGGTCTTCCATACATTTCCCTCCCCCCACGAGGTCCCGGGAGAGAGATTCCTTCTGCCTCCCATTCAGCCTCTTTTTGAATTGACAACTCCAGGAATTGGCCTTTCCAAAAGTCTTTCTGTATCGGAGGCTTCCAGTCTTTTAATCGAGGTCTGGCAGGAATCTTCAAGGCTTCCCCTGGAGGGTGGCAGCGCCCAGCGGGGTCTGGGAAGGGGCTCAGAAAGGGATTTCTCTGGCTGGCTCCTCTGCCAACCTGCTATCTTCACAGAAAAAGTGCCGCCAGAGCCTGGGGGCCGCACTTCACACCTTGGGCAGCCTAGGAGAGCAGCAGCGGGAGGCTTAATTCACGCCTGCCTGGAGAAGCTGCGGAAGAGACAGCTTGTGGCTCCTTCTGTTGTGCAGAGAAGGGGAATTGCCTGGTGCTTCCTTCAGCCGTGTCGCCACTCTCTTCCGGTGTGCTTAACCGTGTGCACAGGGGGGCTCCTTTCCTTGGGGGTCGAGTGGGGCCCACGGCTTCCCCCGGGGCTTTGGCCGTGGGGCATTGGGGGTCCTGAAAAGGGCCCTGGAGCCCCCCTTCCCTTCCGGGCTCCAGTGAGCTGCTGCCAAGTGGGTGGCAAGCCTGGTGCCCCCAGCAAAGCAGAGGAAGGTTTCCAGCCTGAGCAGAGGCTGGGAAAAGCCGCCCGGAGTCCCCTGGTGGGGGGGAAGGTTGGGGGCAGAGGACGTGAATCTATGCCACGCAAAAGAGCCTTTGCTGACAGCGATAAGCGAATGAGCCAAAGGGAGGTTCGGTTTCTCTCAAAGTGGAGGGTGAGCTAAGATGTGAAGCTCAGCCTCACCGAATCATTTGTGTGCCGGCAAATTAAGGGGCCCAATGAAGCCTTTGCTGAAGAAGGAGCTGCACTATTTCCCGCCTCTGACTGGAAAGCCGGAGGAAGCTTCTTCCTGTGGTCCCTCCTCCTCCTCCTCCTCCTCCTCCTCCTCCTTTCTCTTTGGCCGTTACAGGAAATTCTCCTCTGCTCTGAAAGCCCTGAGCCCTGGCTCTTTCCGTACTGTCTGTGCAATTGCTGTGAAAATAAATCAGGTTCCCTGCGAAATTGTACACGCAACCTGCTTTTGGCCAAACCCCGTTTGCTGCATGAAGCCCTGAGCTGCTGAGG